ACTGCGGTTCAAAGTGCAAAAAAAAAGACTCCATTTCGAGAGGGGACCTCAGCGTGGCCGAAGATGGCTGGCGGAGACTTGTCTCTGACACGAAACCCTTCGAGGATCTCCTGGCGAACCTTCAGGCTGGCGAGATGGACGAGGCGATCCACAAAGCACAGAGGCTCAACTGGAAATGGGCTTAGCTGCCGACGGTGGGTGGGGGCCGGGCGCCGTCGGTCCGGCCCTGGTGGTCCCGTCGGCTCTGGACATCGAATCAGCCCACCAGATCAGAGAAAAGGACTGGATATGTCAGTGCTTCCGTAGCGAGCTTCATGTCGTGGAGTACAGAATGTACTGAGTGACATGTGAAAGCGCAGGGCACGAGGTCACCGCTGTAGCCGCGGGCCCGAGCTTTCAAAGAATTTTCTTCTCCCACCCACTCCACCCAGAATGGGTCGTATGTTCTCTGATTGCACAGAAAGAAGGAGCCTAGGTTCCACGGGGACGGGTTCCGGTGAAACACCCGGCCCTGGTGGTCCCGTCGGCTCTGGACATTGAATCAGCCCACCAGATCAGAGAAAAGGACTGGATATGTCAGTGCTTCCGTAGCGAGCTTCATGTCCAGGGTTTGCGGACCCTGCGACCCCTGACCTTAGATACTAAGCTTCAGAACTTCAGACCCTAGACCGGAAAATGTGGGCTGCAAGATGGAAACAGCATCTAGAGGCACAAGCCCCTCACCCTACAGCACAAACAGTGCACAAGCCAAAAAGCTGGAACATGAAAACAGGATGATTGTTGCAACTTTTTGTCTTCCTGGGTCTGGCTTCCTTGTTGCTGCGATCTTCTGCTGATGCACCAGGTCTGCCGCGACTTAGCTGTGACCTTGAACAGCCACTGGAACAACTCTGCAACGAGCCGCTCGGAAGATTGAATTCACCCAGAGACACCCGTAATCTGGGTGTCCGCGAGGTGGAATCCTGGAGGACCTGCAGCATGTGATCTTCGATGCGGTGGAAACAAAGGGGCTGCAATCTCAGAACAGCCTGAAACTTGTCAAGCATGAAACATGATAGAACGCGGCAGTAAAGGTGCCAGCATGTTTTCACCGGATGCTCCTTCCATCAAAGGCTTTTTCTGCTGAACGCGCTTGGTGGAGCATGGCGTGTCGGTGCAACGGCGTTGCTGCCGGGGCACAACAGTGGCAAGTATTTGGCCTCTTAAGTTTGTTGGGATCGAGAGCGGCCTCCAAAAAGCAGACTCTTCGTCCGCCACTTATGCAAACTCCCATGCACAAACTCCCACATATTGTCTCAGTATGTTTCAGTCGATCACTCATAAAGCCCTCAGAGCACAGGAGTTCCCCCAGATCGATGAAACCAGGACATGCACAAGAGGAGAGACGACAAATTTGAAAGAAGAGAATCCCTCACAGCCTCGTACTCTAAGCACCACAGCCCCAAGCAAAGGCCAACCACGTGGACAAGCCTCAGCATGCTCAGCAGGGATCTCGATAGACACACAGTAAGCCTCAGTAAGCATCATTTTACAAGCCAAAATCAAGTCGGAAACCTCCTGGAATGAGAATCAAAACAGGCTGGCAAACGTGGCCTTGCCTGCGAACAATGCAACCGCATTCGGTGGCTAAAGTTATGGCTTCTACTGTCCTGGAATGTCCAGTTAACAAATGACTGAAGACTGACACTTGTTGGTAGTAGGATGCCCCTTGCACTGCCATGACCAGTCGCTCGCTTGAGGATGGTGTTCCAACCAGTCATGCGCAGATGTCCCACACATGTGCTAACTGCAAACCACATTGGCTGCAGGGAAACTCCTAACGCCAATCCTGGATAGAGCCAAGGCTTCCAGCAATTTGCAGCACCCTGCGTAGAAACTGTGAGAAGGCGCGCCTGTCTGGGTGTGCTGGGTTGGGATCTTGCAAGGTTCGCACCAATCATGCCACAAGCTTTGCAATCAAGGGTTGCTGCAAAAAATGCTGCCCAGGCCACCCAAGAGGTCCGCATCAAGGCAGGCCTTGCCTCCACATGCAAAAGTGCAAGAAGTGCAGAGCTTATCAGCTTGTCATTCATCCACACTGGCCTTGGGCTGGAGGCGTTGGCAAATGCTGTTGTTGCAGCCTTCACTGCTGACCCTGCGCCGCCCAAGGCATTGAGGATCTGCTGCTTGAGTTTTTGGGGTTGTCAGCCAGGTCTCTTGAGTTTTGCGAAGACACTTGCATGCCGAAGAATTCGTTGGGGTTCGTGGGACTGAAATCGTGGGGCCATTTTGGAGGTCATTCAGAGCACGAATCTGGCAATGGCCATTGATCCTCAAAGCCTACAAGCTCCTGAAAAGCGCTTCAAACTCATAGGAGGAACAAGTTAAGACAGGAACGCAGAGCACCTTGCGTAGCGTTGCGCAAGCGCGGTGGCTATTTGCAAATTGCGGTTCCCTGCCAGGCTGCTGCATTGTCTTCTCTCAGCGCTGCCTGCAGCTCGGCTTTGGCACGGTGCCCAGAGCTCACAGCCGAGACTCCCAAATGACCCTGAAGCCGTACCAAGGTGGGCCACGTGGGGACCTTGTCTCTGAGACTCAGCTGAGATAGCTGAATAACTTGGTAAGGGTTGCTAAGTCTGGTGAGCCATCCTTCAGACAGTATCTGACTGAGATACCTGGCCATGAATGGTCGACCCACAGCTGCCGAGGCAAAGGGCCTGAGGGAAAGGGGCACAGCACATGCCCAGGCATCTGTGGAAAAAGGAAGAAAAAGCAAGAAACTCA